CCCAGATACACCGCCACAGGCTGCGGCCACCCGTGTGCCCTCACAGGCCACCCGTACCTGACGATGCTGCCAGGGGCCCAAGTGTGCCATTGCCATCTATGTGCCTGGACAGGCCACCGTGGGCCACCGTGACCTGTGTGCAGACGCAATCCATCTCCAGATGCTACCCCCGTGCAGGCACACCACCCCTGCCCAGGCACGAGCTCTGCCCGAGCACCACCCGTGCTGACACCACCTGTGTACCACAGCACCCGGTCGCAGACATGTCACCTGGGTGCAGACGTGCCACCCATGATCCAGGTGCCACCCGAGTGCCTCAGCATGCCGCTCATGTATAGGGGCCACCCATGTCCAGGCATGACCTGCGCCAGCTGCCACCTGTGTTCAGATATGACCTTTGTGCAGACACCGCCCCTGTGTGGACACCATCCATGTGCAGACACCGCCCATGTGTGGACACCATCCATGTGCAGACACCATCCATGTGCAGACACCGCCCCTGTGTGGACACCATCCATGTGCAGACACCATCCATGTGCGGACACCACCCCTGTGTGGACACCATCCATGTGCAGACACCGCCCCTGTGTGGACACCATCCATGTGCAGACACCGCCCATGTGGTGATCCCACCCATGTGCAGACACCACTTATGTGCCAATGTCAACCGTGTGCAGATGCCAACCGTGTGCCCAGACATGCCACCCGTATCCTCCTGGCATGGCACAGCTCAGCACAGAGGGGCCCCGGCCAAGCTCATCTCCCCACGAGGGACCCAGCACAGCTCTTTGCAGCAGAACAGCTCCTTTATTTTTAACGTTACCCTGCCTTTGACCATTTCATTTTCAGCACATGGATACAGGGAGAGGAATCGCTCAGTACAAAGAGAACCTGGGTTCATCTTGAAGACCTCAGTGGCCACCTTCCAGCTGTAGCAATGGTTTTGCTGTAAGGGAGGAAATGGTTCTTTCGCAAATGGGTAAAAAGAATGTAGAAGTGTGGATTACATTTATGTCATTTTCTCTCTCCTGCCATGATCTTGTAACTGAAAATTTGAACTGTACTTGCTAATCTCATCTGAATTAGTCATCTGCATATATTGGAAACAGCACGGACACCTTTTAATAGGAACAAGACTACTTTGCCACCCATATTTTGATTTCAAGCCCCAGATATGATGATTGGTGGGGAAAAGCAACCACTTGAAAATAAGACCAAAGGGCACCTTGAGGTCCAGGTCAGAGTTCGAACCGACTGTGTATGTGTTTAGATTTTAGCTTGTTGTACTTGGTGATGAGATCCAGCTTACTGTGCCCGAGAGTCATTCTTTTCTCAGCCCCATATGTGCTGTTCTTTTCCATCAGCATGTCCTCAGTGAGTTTATCATAGCAAGGAACTACAGGCTTTTTATCTCGTTTTAGCTGGTTGTATGGGGATAGCAGGTCCAATTTTCCTTGTCCGGGACTCTGTCTTTTTTCCATCCCATAAAAAGTGGTGTCATTTTCTGCTGTCGGTTCCCTGGAGGTAGCAGCAGGCCCCTTCTGCTTCATGCTTGTCCCGTTGCTACTGGCAACTTCCGAAAGGGACTGCAATGTCTGCTCCTGTCTTAGTGGGGAGCAGTGGCTGCTGTTAGCATTATTGTCCCCTTGATAACTAGGTTTATTGGAGCTCAGGGCAGGGGAAGGCTCCGGCTGCAAGAATGTCCTTGCTGTCATGAGATTTGATTTGTGATACAAGGCTGGGGTGGATTTATTTGGAGGACTGTTTGGCGAGTCTGGTGGTTCTCCTTGCTGCTTAGGGCAAGAAGGCTTCAGAGATGTGTCTTCCTTCCCCTTCTTATTACCAGAATCAGAGCCTGAATCTTGCTTTTCCTGGTGTACATTGCAGCTGGAGTTTTTCAGAAAGGGAGACATTTTTATGCTTCTGATGCTTACATTGGAAAGGCTGCTGGAGGGGCTCAAGGTTTCAGCATCATTCACCTGCGTGGGTTTTAAAAGGGAGTTGGCAACTTTTGAGGTATTCTGAGGAGAGGGGCACGTTCCAGGATCTGGCACACAGAAGCTGGTCATTGCTCTGGACTCTGCATACAAGTACCGGAATTCCTTGTCAAACTCTGCAACAATTTGACCACGGAAGTGGGTCACCAGGCTGGTGTGGACTTGGCTGCAAAGCCAGGTGAAACTGCAAAAAAAGAAAAAACCCACATGTAACTTCAGTTCACAGAGTGCCAAGATACCTAGCATTGATTTTACCATTCCAGTGATGTATTGCTACTCAATTATGTCATTAAAACTTTTCTGAAGTATTCGAGTCTGAGATTACTTGTAGAGATGAATGTACTCGTTACATAATTACAAAAGAACAACCCTAAAATGGTCATTTAATTTCAGCTCGGTGATGCAATGAACTGTATGAAAATATAAACAATGAACAAGAAATATCAGCTGGTTTTCCTTAGCCTTAGGAAGGATGTAGAGCAACAACTGGTCCCTGCCTAAAAAGCACAGCAGCATGTTTCAGGCCTTTTCTTCTCCAGCTTCCTCTTGCCAGTGCTCTCTGCCCATAAGCAAGGAAGCATCGTTTCCCATTCCCCATCCCATCCGTGTGTTGGAGAGTACCAGCTAACCGTTTTGTGGCCAGGCTTGTCAGTCCATGCAGGGGGGTACTGCGGTGTGCGTGGTTTGTATCAAGCAGGCAGTGGCAAGGAGAGTTCTGACTGTCTGGAGATGGTGTGACTATGGGACAATGAGATAGGAAGCACGGGGCACTGCAGGGTTCTTTCTGCCCAACTTGTATTGCAGACTTCCTAGCTCAGCATTTGGCCAGCACAGTACACTGCAACCATACCTTCCACAGAGGGCAAGGAGGCTGTTTGGGGGGGATATGAAGGCATGCCTGCTCTCCTGCTCTCTTCCCTTGCCTTAGCGGGAGCTATGTTCTCACATCCTTAACATCTGCAACATGTGATGAACTTGAAGGAGATGCTTAGGCAGGCAGGAGTGTGCGAAGTGGAGATCTTGGGCGCTGCCTTGAGGGGCAGAGGTCTCCAGTGCCCCACAGGAATACTTCAGGACAGGAAGGCTGATGATGTTTTCCATAAGTATTGCTGTGAGATTCCCCAGACTCCCTCCATCTTTTCCTTGCCGTCCAGTTAAGAGATGCACGGTGTCAGAAGTTCATGAGTCCTTTGCTCAGCAAATCCAGTCCTTGCTCTCACAGTACAATATCTTGGGATCTTTTCTGGGAGCTTGTAATGTTCCACCTTAAAACGAATTAGGTTTTGCCCCATCTGGGGAAAAACTTTCACTAATTGCCACTCTGCATATTTTCCTTATCTGCTTAACCCTACCTGTTGTTTATGCCAAAACTGTACCTTAATTAGCTCTTCCCCCATATATCTACAGACAGTAACCACATTTCCCCTCCCAGTCTTCATTTTCCTAGATTAAACAGGGAAGCTCCTCTTACAGAGTAGGCTCCCCAGGTTCATGGTCATCCCAGTCATCAGCTGCTTCTTTCATTCTTGTTATAGTCAAACCAGATTAGCAGACTAATTGTGTTAAATAAAACAGAACCTTCACAGATGGAAGTACCAGCTTAGGGCTGCATTATCAGTTGCTAAAGCTAGATACTGACTTTGACAAGAGCGGGATGAAATCACAGAAACTACAGGAGAACAACTGTAATGGGAGATTCCACTTATTCGCAAGTAAATGTCATTTCAGGACAAGATACTGTCAGTATGTTTTGGGACCTCATCAATGTTTAGTTCACAAGACAGCTATTTGGGAACTTTTAGCAAGAAAACCAGCTCTTTGCTTTTTCCTAAGCAGTATGCAGTTGTTATGGTTCATAATGTTTTGAAGAAAGTAGTATACTTACACTCAGCATACACACCCCCCAAAGAGCAACATAAAACAAAAAGGTCAATACTCTTCTGCTTAATATCAAAACAGGTAAATTAAATAAGAATGAAGAAGTAGTAAAAGAGTGAAAAACCTTTGTGGGTGGCATGAAGAGTATTCAGAAATACCATACTGGAGGCTCAAAGCAAATGCATACAACTTCACAGAGAGACATGAGAAAAAAACCAGAAAATAGCTGGGATGGCTAAATGACAGAAGAGAAGCTAAACTGACAGAAGAGAAGCTAAACTGACAGAAGAGAAGCTAAACTGACAGAAGAGAAGCTATTAAGACCAGAAAGCCCATCTTTCAAAAAGGTTGGGTCACACATTGCAAAAGGCATAAGAAATAATATTCAGCTCTCTGTGGGGCTAGCACATGGTCCATGTGTACCAGGAGTGCTCAGATAATTCCTCTGCATCAGTGTTTATTGTACAGGAGCTTGGGATGATCCATGCCCTGAACCCACCTTTATACAAAACATAAGGGAGGATCAATCTCATGTTGAAATCTTTGTAGAAGAGATTAGAAAACATATCAAAAAAGCAGATAGTGACAAATAGGCAGGACCAGATAACATCAACCCAAGAGTGCCAAAGGAATGCAAGGATGAAATAGCTCAACTACTAACCAGGATATGTTCTCTCTCACTTGAAAGTGCCTTGGTTATCAGAAGAGTGGAAGGTTGCTAATGTGATATAATTTTGTTAATGTTCCAGACCATTAAGCCTCATAACTGCACAGCACAAATTAGTAGAGACTCTTCTAAAGAATACAATCAATGGCCATATAGGTAAATATGATATAATAGGAAAGGCAGCTTTTGCAAAGGAAAGTTGTATCTCACAAAGCTGTGAGAGTTCTTTGAAGAAATCCAAGAGTCCAGATGGGAGATCGCGTGTATCCTGTATCGACATTGTCAAAGCTGTCTATCCCAGGGGCACTGCTTGGCTCCCAGGAGTGCTGGTGTTCCCATCCATGTTGCTTACAGCTATTACCCTTCTACACAAGAGCGCTGCGTCTGCACTGCACAGTGCTTAGACGTATCCCAACTCAGGACCTACGCCACTCACACATACACTTGTGTTCACTTGAACTCCTCAAAAAACCACAAATGCACTCAGAGGGCTGAGCACCCTCTCCTCTGGAGGGGCAGGCTTGCATCCCTCACGCTGCGAGCATTGCCCCATGAACTGCGAGAGGACCCTGGTCAGCCGGGTGGAGGATAATGCCTGCCATCCCTGTTCAC